ATTAGGAATGGGTTACTAAAATACAGTACAATAATACAATACATATAAACTAACACTAACATTGTAAGACCTAGTTAGTAGTGATATCACATGATAATGAAATTACTAGTATTTTTATGAAATATATACTTAATTCCTGGTTTATTAAGATTACAATTATATACAGGTATATACTCGAGTTTAATTTTATTATTTAACTATAATACGTAGGCATAAATATAGCACTACATTTATATTATTAAACTATTATAGAGTACAAAACTAGACACTAATTGTTATTAACAGGGTAAATTTCCTTCATAAGGGGTCCCATACTATCAGTAAAAGGTTTGAAATTCTTCATAACCACAACCAACTCAATGTTACTCAACATTTGTAGCATTTGTAGTGAAAACATAAGTTTTTGTAGCTTTGACTCCGATTCCGATCCATATTTGAACAGTAAATATCTTTGTAGTAAATAAATGTACAATTGTTGCTCGAGCCTATTATAATAATTATTAAATTATTTGTTACTTAAACAAAACTTGGGTTTTAAATATGATACCTAACATTATGTCTGTGGACTATATTAGGTCGATTCGGATTGAATAGGGTGATCGCGGTCAACTTGTCAAATAATATTTACATAGGTTATGAGATAAAATAATAGTAAACTATTAATAAAATATATTTTTAAAATATAATACCAGGTCCATCATAATGTAGTCGTTGTAATCCCATTCACACAATATTTTACGAGTAAATTCATTGAGCATGTTAACATATTCCGTATCCAGACTTAACATATAAGCACTGATCACTAATATAGTGTTGTTATCCTGTAGTGATATATAAATAAATGAATATAGTATATGTACTGTATATACATAGTAGAACATATGTATACGGTATATACATACCAGTATACATACTATTTAAATAATATAAATATATTTAAATATTACAATACTCACTATAGGTACACAAAAATTATTATTTTCCACATCATAATATTTAAACGTAAGAACGGATAGCACTTCATTTGTCCCATACTTCACCAGGGCTAATTGATCGTTAAGACAAATGTTATTAAAACCATTTAAACATTGAGTAAAGTCTACGAAATCTTTAATCATTAGTTCATTTTTGTGACTGGATCTTTTAATAAAGTCTTCGAGATTTATAATGTTCAACATATTAGGACCCAATGGATAGTTAAACCTAACCGTAGCTCTGGTTAACTCTGATATACGGATGACTTCCAGTTGTTTGAAACCCTCATAATCTGTCATTTGTTTAAACATCGGTATTATCGCTAATTCTTGCGCTTTGTTTTCACTTTTCATTTCATCAGTCTTGTCACAATTTTTAATTCCTTTTATCTGTTTAATGAGTTCTTCATCACTAATATTGAGTTCATTTTCTAACAACTCATCGAAAATGTCTTTTACTATGTTTTCATCCGATATTAAACTGTTGGGCGAACCACTTGTGGATGAATTGCAACATTCAATGTTTTGTAGTAATTTTAATTTATTTAGCTTGGTCAATTGCTTTCTCTGTTCATTCTCATTAAAATCTCTTATCAATTCCTATAAATAAACATTTATTAAATTCAAAAATAAAAAACATTTATAAATATGATTATAAACATTACTTTTTTCATGCCGACTGCAAAACATTTAGCGAGTCTACACTTTTGACATATTTTTCTGGTCACTGAATTTATTATACATTTACCACCGGATGCACAGATTAATGGCTATTCATATAAATTAATTTGTTTATTTGTAAAAATTTAAAATAAAATTTAAATCATATTAACATTAATTATATGCTTACTTTATTTCTGAGGGCATACCGTCTAAAAAAGGATTTACACGACTCGCATGTAATTATAGAAAAGTTTTTACCTAGATAAACAATAGTTACTTAACCTGATTGTTTCTACAATTAAATACAAATAAATAAATACCAATCCCTTTAACGCCACACACTTTGCATATTTTAGTTAATTTCTCACAACTCATATTAATAATATTATCGCAATATTTATAAAATTAAATATATTTTATTTAATTATTCAAATGGTTACATAAAACGATATAGATTAATTTATAGTACCAATATATTAATTAATAAAATGTTTACTGATAGTTCTTAATAATATTAAACACACTTTGAGATAATGTCATTTTATCTATAATATAGGAGTGGTTTATTGAATATAAGTAACTGTCCATTTAACGCTACAAACTACGCAAACTTTATTCAGGTTGGTTTAAAGTTTACAATGTAAAGCATATTTTATTTCATAAATCAAATGATATTAATGAGCTTTATTAGAAAACTGCTAATAAAATATTATAATACACTACTTTACTTATATTAACTTGTAGTAAACTAAACTAACAACTTTAAATGACCTAGAATCTAAATTCTAGATATAAGTAGTTTTATTCCATAATACAGTACTAAAATTACTTGTATCTACTCTATTTTTTAAATATTTACTTAATTCCTGGTATACTGTATTAAGACTTAAAAATATACATGTAATTTTATTATTTAATTATAACACATATGAGTGGCAAAAGGCATTAATAGCGGTAGCCTATGTAAAAATCTATATGTTATGGTACCAAATATTTGTTATACCTGTATATGCTTATAGCATAGCGTTAGTTCCCTTAATATGTGGATGCTATCCGCTATTAATGCATACTGACAGTCATATGTATAAATAAAGCCAGTAATTTTAATATTCATTATTAAGCTATTATACAGTCAATATAAACTAAACATTAATTGTTATCAACAGGATAAATCTCCCTCATAATAGGTCCCATATAATGGGCAAACGGTTTGAAATTCTTCATAACCACAGACAACTCAAAGTTACTTAACATTTGCAGCACTTGTAATGAAAACATAAGTTTTTGTAGCTTTGACTCCGATTCCGATCCATATTTGAACAGTAAATATCTTTGTAGTAAATAAATGTACAATTGCTGCTCGAGTCTAGATATAATAAATTTAGTTATGAAAGTATTTGTCACTTAAATTAACCTTGAATTATATAGTAGTTTTAAATAACATACCTAACATTATGTCTGTGGGTTATATTAGGTCGATTCGGATTGAATAGGGTGATCGCAGTCAACTTGTAAAACATTTAAAATAAGTTACGGGATAAAATAACTATGGAATGAATTAATATATTGTATATTTAAAAAATATAATACCAGGTCCATCATGATGTTGTCGTTGTAATCCCATTCACACAATATTTTACGTGTAAATTCATTATACAAGTTAAAGTGTGTCGTATCCAAACTAAATATATCAGCACTAATCACTAATGTAGTGTAATTGTCCTGAATTAAAATATTTAAAAAATATAATTATACTATATATATTCATGTAAATTATTTAAATATTACAATACTTACTAAAGGTACACAATAATTATCATTATCTAGGTCATAATATTTTAATGTACAAATAGATAGCATTTCATTGCACCCATACTTTACGAGGGCTAATTGATCGTTAAGGCATATATTATTAAAACCATTCAAACATTGAGTGAAATCTACGATATCTTTAATGACACACTCAGTTTTGTACCTGGTTCTTTTGATAAATTCTTTTAGATTTAAAATTTTCAACATATTAGCGCCCAATGGATAGTTAAACCTAACGGTAGCTCTGGTTAACTCGGATATACGGATGACTTCCAGTTGTTTGAAACCCTCATAATCTGTCATTTGTTTAAACATCGGTATTATCGCTAATTCTTGCGCTTTGTTTTCACTTTTCATTTCATCAATTTTAACACAATTTTCAAATTCTTTTATCTGTTTATTGAGCTCTTCATCACTAATATTGAGTCCATTTTCTAACAACTCATCGAAAATGTCTTTTACTATGTTTTCATCCGATAATAAACTACTGGGCGAACCACTTTGGGATGAATTGCTATATTCATTGCATTGATGTAATTGTAAATTATTTAGCCTGGTTAATTGCTTTCCCTGCTCATTATCATTGGAATCTCTTATTAATTCCTGTAAATAAACATTTATTAAACGCATAAATAATATTGAAAAATTGTATAAACATTACTTTTTTCATTCCGACTGCAAAACATGTAGCAAGTCGACACTTTTGGCATATTTTTCTGGTCACAGAATTTATTACACATTTACCACCGGATGCACAGATTAATGGCTATTCATATAAATTAATTTGTTTATTTGTAAAAATTTAAAATAAAATTTAAATCATATTAACAATAATTATATGCTTACTTTATTTCTGAGGGCATACCGTCTAAAAAAGGATTTACACGACGCGCACGTAATTACAGTAAAGTTTTTACCTAGATATAAAATAGTTACTTAATCTGATTGTTTCTACAATTAAATAAAAAATAATTAAATACCAATCCCTTTAGCGCCACACACTTTGCATATTTTAGTTAATTTCTCACAACTCATATTAATAATATTATCGTAATATTTATAAAATTAAATATATTTCATTTAATTAATCAAATGGTCACATAAAAGGAAATAAATTAATTTTTAGTATCAATATATCAATTAATAACATGTTTACTGAGAATGCCTAATATTGTAATATTAAACACACTTTGAGATAATGTCATTTAATCTATAATAAGAGTTATAGGAGTAGTTTATTGAATATAATTAAGTAACTGTCCATTTAACGCCACAAACTACGCAATCTTTATTTAGGTTGACTAATAGTTTACAATGTAAACCATATTTTATTTCATAAATCCAATTATTTTTGTATTAAATTTTAAGACTTAAAAATATACACGTAACTTTATTATTTAATTATAATTATATGTATAAATAAAGCCATAAAAATTAATATTTATTATTCAGTTATTATACAATCAATATATAACTAAACATTAATTATTATCAACTGGATAAATCTCCTTCATAAGGGGTCCCATATAATGGGCAAACGGTTTGTAAAGCTTAATAACCACATCAAACTCAAAGTTACTTAACATTTGCAGCATTTGTAATGAAAATATAAGTTTTTGTAGCTTTGACTCCGATTCCGATCCATATTTGAACAGTAAATATCTTTGTAGTAAATAAATGTACAATTGCTGCTCGAGTCTAGATATAATAAATTTAGTTATTAAATTATTTGTCACTTAAATTAACCTTGAATTATATAGTAGTTTTAAATAACATACCTAACATTATGTCTGTGAGCTATATTAGGTCGATTTGGATTGAATAGGGTGATCGCGGTCAACTTGTAAAATATTTAAAATAAGTTACGGGATTAAATAACTATGGAATTAATTATTATATTGTATATTTTTAAAATATAATACCAGGTCCATAATGATGGTGTCGTTGTAATCCCATTCACACAATATTTTTCTCGTAAATTCATTTAACATGTTAAAATATGTCGTATCCAAATTAAATATATCAGCACTAGCGACTAATGTAGTGTTATTGTCCTGAATTAAAATATTTAAAACAGAATATAATTGTATATACTTTAAAAACAAATATACAAGCATTTAAATTATTTAAATATTATAATACTTACTATAGGTACACAAAAATGATCATTATCTAGGTCATAATATTTAAATGTACAAATAGATAGCATTTCATTGCACCCATATTTTACCAGGGCTAATTGATCGTTAAAGCAAATGTTATTAAAACCATTCAAACATTGAGTGAAATCTACGATGTCTTTTATGATACTCTCAGTTTTGTACCTGCCTCTTTTAATAAATTCTTCGATATTTATAATGTTCAACATATTAGGACCCAATGGATAGTTAAACCTAACCGTAGCTCTGGTTAACTCGGATATACGGATGACTTCCAGTTGTTTGAAACCCTCATAATCTGTCATTTGTTTAAACATCGGTATAATCGCTAATTCTTGCGCTTTATTTTCACTTTTAGTTTCATTAGTTTTGACACAATTTTCAAATTCTTTTACCTGTTTATTGTGTTCTTCATCACTAATATTGAGTTCATTTTCTAATAACTCATCGAAAATGTCTTTTACTATGTTTTCATCCGATATTAAACTGCTGGGCGAACCACTTGTGGATGAATTGCTAAATTCATTGTTTTGTAGTAATTTTAATTTATTTAGCCTCATCAATTGCTTTCTCTGTTCATTTTCATTGGAATCTCTTATTAATTCCTATAAATAAACATTCATTAAACGCATTGATACTAAATTTTAAATATTTATATTATCAGTGTTGGCAAAATCCTTTTAAATTGGTAAGTGGTTAATTTTTGAGTGTAATATTTTGTGTGTATCTAAGTAATAGTTACTATTAATTGTGACTATACTTGAACAAATATTCACTTTAAAAAACCACTTACCAATTGAAAAACAGTTTGACTAACACTGATTTATAGAATTCATTATAAGAATAGTATTAATTAATAAACATTACCTTTTTCATGCCGACTGCAAAACATTTAGCAAGTCTACACTTTTGGCATACTTTCCTGGTCAGTGAATTTATAACACATTTACCACCGGATGGACAGATTAATGGCTAATCATATAAATTAATTTGTTTAAATCATTATTAAAATTAATTATATATACAGTATGTTTACTTTATTTCTGAGGGCATAGCGTCTAAAAAAGGCTTTACACGACTCGCACGTAATTACAGCAAAGCTTTTACCTAGATAAAAAAAGAGTTACTTAATTTGATAGATTGTTTATAAAATTAAATAAAAATAATTAAATACCAATCCCTTTATCCCCACACACTTCGCATATTTTAGTTAATTTTTTACCACTCATAGGTATTTATTAACCGTGGTAATCCTAAACATATATTACAGTGATATTAATAAAATTAAATATATTTTATTTAAATGTTTAAATGTGTACATAATACACTATTTTTAATATACTAATTAATGATATGTTTATTGAGTTTTGAACCTCAATCAAAGTTCTTAATAATATTAAACACTCTTCAAGATAATGTCATTTTATCTATAAAAGTGGTTTATCACATGTTTATTATATTATTATACAATGTAATGTATTTTATTTATTAAATTAACAACAAATTTCAAGTTTCTAATAAGTATAAAATTGTTCATAATTCTCTTAATAATTACCATAATAATAAAAATATGAGTAGTAGTATAACATGATAATTAAATTACTATTATTTATTTGTAAAATATTTTATGAACCTAATTCCTGATATAATAAGATTATAAATATATACTTTAAATATTCACTAATTATTAATAACAAAGTGTAAAAACAATATTTTATTTTTAAAATTATATCATGATCACAGGTAATTGAACGAGTTATATTTAATATATTGAGCTGGAAACTAAGTTCGTTCAAAATCGTTATTTTAAAAACTACATTGATTAAAAATAATTTGAAAATATACTTTTTCCATATTTTCATTGTCTTCCTGTACTCCAATGGACAGACACCTGGGGGGCTGGTAGCTTTTAAGTATTATGCTCTAGGTCAAAAACTATAAGTCCTAGAGTGAATCTGAGAACACCATTGGAAAGAGCGTAGAATTCTAAGGATACATGGTGTCAATGGTTTGTATCCTAACCTAATGGTTAGAGCACAGGGAGGCCGGGTATTTAAACAATTCAAATCTTTAATTAATTATAGAAAATTAATCAATATGTGTATTGCAAAGTTATGATATGGAAAATGTAGAGAATATAATTCTCAATCATATAAAAATGAAAAAAATTTTGTTAATTTGTAGCATCGGGAGGAAAGGGATGCATTTTATAGCGGGAATACTACAAGTTTTAGCATAAATCTAATTACTGTGTTAGGCAGAGCTCAAGATATGGTTTTGACTAACATTTAAAATTTTTCCACACTGTATAAGATATAGCTATTATACTAGTACATAATTTCAATTTATATTCTAAAATAAACAATTTGAAAATATATAATTAAGCATCAATTGTATGAAACTGATATATTTCCCTCGTAAGAGGTCCGAGATAATGAATAAATGGCTTAAATTTATCCATAATTATCGTCATCTCTAAGTCACTCAACACTTGCAGCGTTTGTAATGAATTCATAAGTCTTTGTAACTTTGATTGCGATTCCGATCCATATATTAATCGTAAATATCGTTGCAATAAATATATGTAGAGTTTCTGTTCAAGTCTATAAAAAGTATTATATAATATGTATAATAAGTATAATGTATAATATGTATATTATATATAATAAGTATATAATAAGTATATAATATTATATAATATGTTTCACTATTGTAAATAAATAGTGTATCAACTTTATACCATACCTAACATGATGTTTATGTTTTAAGTTAGGTCTATTTGGGTTGAATAGTGTGATCGCGGTCAACTTTAAAAATAAAATTTAAAAATCTTACTTTCAAAACCCTAAATAGCATTATAAAAAATAATAAATACCAGATCAATGGCAACCGGGTCATTGTAGTTCAATTCACTCACAATCATATTAGTGTATTCTGTAAGCGTATTAAAGAATTTAGTTTCTAAATGAAATATACCCAGGTCGGTCACCAATATAGTGTCATTGTCCTGTATTATTGTTAAAAATTAATTTGCAGCTATAAGTATTAATAAATGTTTACATTATAGTACAGTATATAATGTATACTTACTAACGGAAATGTATAATTGCCATTTTGTACATTATAATATTTAAGTGAACGAATAGCTTTCAATTCCATACACCCATACCTTACCAGTAGTGCCAACCGATCGTTGAAACAAATGTTATTAAATCCATTCAAACATTGAGTAAAATCTATGATATCTTTGATGACACTCTCGTTCTTTTGGTTTGAATTTATGATCAATTCTTCTAAGTTTCCAATTCTCAGTAACTTATTGCCAAACGGATAGTTAAACCTAACCGTAGCTTTGGTTAACTCCGATATTCGGGTCATTTCCAAATGATTCAAGCCCCCATAATCTGTCACTTGTTTAAACATCGGTATAACGTGTAAATCTTGTGATTGATTTTCAATAATTATTTCATTCATATTATGATTAGTGACACAAATGTCAATATCCATTATTTGTTCATTGAGTTCATCATCACTAATATTGAGTGCATTTTCCAACAACTGGTCGAAAATGTCTTTATCGATGTCCCCATCAATATGTACTAAACCTTTCGATGAATTACTTGTGGCCGACACACCACTTTCAACTATATGTTTACGTTTTAATTTATTTAGCCTGACCACTTTTGCTCTATTTTCATTCTGCTCGACATTTCTTATGAATTCCTATTAAATAATAATTATATTAATATTTTTATTCCAATTATTATAAGTAATACTTTTTTCATTCCCACTGCAAAACATTTAGCGAGTCTACACTTTTGGCATATTTTTCTGGTCACAGGATTAATAACACATTTATCACCCGATGGACAGTTCAATGGCTATGATTACAGTATTAAATTAATTTATATTAATTAAAAGTTATTATAATTTTATATTTACTTTAGTTTTGAGCGCAAACCGTCTAAAGAAGACTTTACAGGACTCGCACGTAATTATAGTATAATTTTTACCTATAATTAAATTAAAACAAATAAAATGTAGTTTTGTTTAACGTCTAAATAAACATATCAATTTATACCACTTCCTTTATCGCCGCAAACTTCACATATTTTATTTGACTTATTGTGGTTCATATTGTAATAAATAAACTTGTTCACTTAACGTTCTTTAGTAAATAAAATTGATTTACCTAAATTAATTATTATGAATTTAAAATTTAATTCTTAAACTACAGTCAAGTATAAATAAAGTGTTTATTGAATTTAACTTCAAATAAATTTCTTATCGAAATTACATTATTAGATAATTCATATCACATCAATTATAAAAGTAGTTATCATCATATCAAATTAAATTAAGATATTTCTTATGAAAGTTGCCATTCATTTCAAATACTGAATAATATACATATTATGATATATTTTATTATAAATTCAAACATATACATTATTTTATGTAAATTATATAGAATAATACCTATTTGTATTACTAAAGTATTAAAGTGGTATTCATAAAGGACATGAAAAATTATTTAATACAAATGAAGCAACAACAAAATTAATATATAATTATTATAATAAGAATCACTGCTAAATACTATGAAAAGTATAGATTTCTTTCATTAGTGGTCCGAAATAATGATGAAATGGTTTATATTGTCTCATCATAACAGACATCTCCAAGTCACTCAACATCTCGTGTTTATGCACTGAAATCATTAGTTTTTGTAGTTTTAATTCCCATTCCGACCCATATTTTAATCGTAAATATCGTTGCAATAAATATATATATAATTGCTGTTCAAGTCTGCATATAAAACAATAGCCATTATAAAAGAAATATTAGCATATTTTTCAGACATACTTCACATTATGTCTATGCGTTAAGTCAGGTCTATTTGGATTGAAAAGTGTGATCGCCATCAGCTTTAAAATAATTTCAAATTAAATCAATTAAAACTGTCACATTTATATAATAAATACCAAGTCCATAACAAGAGGGTCATCGTAACTCCACACATTTAAAATATCATTTACAAACTCTTTAATTGCATTATAATATTTATCATCCAGGTGAAATACTCTCAAATTAGTCACTAATGTATTGTTGTTGTCCTGTATTGTAGGAAATATAAATATACATTGAAATTCCTATGTATTACATAGTGATTTGTATTATTAAGTGCTATACAGTAATACGTACTCACCATGGGCATTTTAAAACAATCACTCTTTGGATCATAATATCTATAACCGCGGACTCCAATCAATTCATTGCACCCATACTTTAGGAGTGCTAACCGATCGTTAAGGCATATATTATTAAATCCATTCAAGCATTGAGTAAACTCTACGATATCTTTAATAAAGTCTTCAGTCTTATTGGTAGAAATTTTAATAAATTCCTCAATATTTGTAGCTTTTAATAAATTATTACCAAGTTTATAGTTAAACCTAACCGTAGCTCTCATTAACTCTGATATCCGTCTGGTTTCCAATTGATTGAAGCCCTCATAATCTGTTATATGTTTAAACATGGGTATGACTGCTAATTCTTGAGATTTACTTGTATCTAGCTCATTGATACAGCAATTTTCAATTTCCATGATCTGTTCATTGAGTTTCTCATCACTAATATTGAATTTATTCACAGATAACTCATCAAAAATATGGTTGATTTCATCAAATAGTTGTAAACTTTCCAATGAATCACTTGCGGATGAAATGTTACTTTCATAACCTTGTTGTCGTTTCAATTTATTGAGCTTGATCAGTTTCTTTCTATATTCATTCTCTTCGGGATCTCTTATAAATTCCTATTATTAAAAATATTATGAACGAAATAGTCTACAAAATAAAAGGTAATTTAAATGTATTAAATTCAAAAAGTACCTTTTTCATGCCAACTGCAAAACATTTGGCAAGTCTACACTTTTGACACATTCTTCTAGTTACAGGATTTATGATACATATACCGCCTGATGGACAGGTTAATGGCTATTCACGAGAAATTATTTAATTTAAATACTATATGTCTAGTTTATTAGAACCAGTTACCTTATAAAGTATTATACAATTGCATAAAAGTTTGTTAAGTCTTTAATATAGTTACCTTGTTTCTAAGCGCAAACCTCCTAAAGAATGCTTTACACGATTCGCAAGTAGTTACGGTAAAATTCTTACCTAGTTTATAACATCATTTATAGATTATAAAACTATGTTAGAAATTTAAACATAATTACAAACCAACTCCTTTATCACCGCATACTTCACAAATTCTGGTCACTTTAGTATAATTCATATTATAATTATTATGAAATACTTATATTATTACTAGTAATTATAATTATGTAAATAGGTTTTACTTTTTATTTGAAATTAAACTATAAAATATTAACACAGTATTAAACTATAAATCATATATTTATTGAATAAGAACATTAATCTCAGATCTAATATATTAAACACACTACTAGATAATGGCACATTAATTATAAAAGTGTTTTTATCACATGATAATAGATACTGAGTCCTGTTTACTAAATTTGTGCTTAACAATTTTTTGTAGATATTATACAGAACAAAAATATACTTTATAAATTAATAACAAATTACTTAATTTTTTACACAATTTATTTATTGTATTTAATTACAGAGTATATAAATAAATATTCACAAGTAAAAACTAAAAACATGAAATTAGTTAGCAACTTTATTGAAAGCATACATCTCCATCATAAGTGGTCCGTAATAATGCATATATGGTTTAAATTGTTTGATAATAAACTTCCTATTTATGTCACACAACACTTGTATCTCTTGTAATAAAATCATCAGTTTCTGTAACTTTAATTCGGATTCCGATCCATATTTCAACCGTAAATATCGTTGCAATAAATATATGTAAAGTTGCTGTTCAAACCTAAAATGACAGTTATTACAAAAACCGTACTAGGTACTGCAATTATTCTTAACCTACAATAAAAGAACTATAAGATATCATACCTAACATTATGTCTATGCATGAGATTAGGTCTATCTGGATTGAAAAGTATGATTGCGGTCAACTTAAAAATAAGTTAAATTATATTAATACATTGTACAGTATTAGCATACATTATTATGGTGTTCAAGTTAAATACATACCAAATCTATAGTAATATAATCGCACTCATTTAACTCAATCCATATTTTACGTGAAAAGTCTTTCATGATGTTAAGATATTTATTTTCTAAATTCATTATATCCCAGCCCCAATAAATTACCAGTGTAGTGTTGTTACTATTCTGAAGTGTAATATATTAAATTGACATTATAACTATTTTTAAAATTAATATACTGATTAGTATTTAATACTCACCAATGGCATAAAATAGCACTCACTATGGATATCATAATACTTTAAACACCGGAACCTGGCTAATTCTGTGTTTCCATGCTTGACCAGTGCCAAACGATCGTCAAAACAAATGTTATTAAATCCATTCAAACATTGCGTGAATTCAATGACATCTTTAACAAAGTTTTCATTTCTTTGGTGAGAATTCTTAACCAATTCCTCAATATTTCGCATTTTTATTATTTTATTGCCAATTTCACCATAGTTAAACCTAACCGTTGCTCGGGTTAACTCGGATATACGACTGCCCTCTAACTGATTGAAACCTTCATAATCTGTCAGATGTTTAAACATAGGAATAACTGTTAATTCTTGAGTATTATATTCACAATTTATTTCATCCATGTTTTCATTTACGACACTATTGTCTATTTTTATGATCTGTTTATTAAGCTCATCACCGCTTATATTAAGTGTGTTTTCTAACCAATCATTAAAAATGTCATTTCCATTGCTCTTTCCAAACAGATGTTTAGATGAATGACTGGTTGAGGAGACAATACAATGATTTTGTTTAAAGTTATTTAGCCTGGTCTTTTTATTTGCCTTCTCAGATGTGTATTTTATGAATTCCTATTTTTACAATAAAATAATACAAATAGTATAATAAAAATCTGTATGCAAACAAGTATAAATATAACCTTTCCCATTCCGACTGCAAAACATTTAGCGAGTCTACACTTTTGGCACATTTTTCTAGTCACAGGATTTATCACACAATTACCATCCAATCGACAGTTTAATGGCTATTGGTTTAGGTTTAATTAAACAAATCAAAGGTTAAATCAGGTATACATGTATATACTAAACTATTTACTTTAGTTTTTAATGCAGATCGCCTAAAAAATGTACGACATGGTCCGCATGTAATTGCATTATAATTTATGCCTATAATTAAGTTAATTTAACAGTAGGTTTGTTTAGCATTTAAAAACATTATAAATACCTGTCCCTTTATCGCCACAAACTCCACATATTTCAAATGGTTTATTTAAATTCATATTGAAATTGATAAACTTGGTGATGTTAGTAAGCAATAATTGTACAATATACTACTAGTAATTTTTATTTGAAACATGAAAATTAATTTACACACCACACTCGAATAAATAAAGTATTTATTGCAAAATAAGACATTCACAACTACAAGCTACAAAATTAACTTGCGCAAATTCATGCGTCAAATAAATTAATCAATGTTAGAAAACATTTGTTTATAATTAACTTAATTAAACGTTCAAACGAAATAATTAATAGATTAATTGAATGTGTTGAAATAATGTATTAAGACATTAATATTTACAACGGCAACAAATTAAATGATGATAAAACGTTGTAATGTAGTGCTTAAAATAAAAGTTAAAATAAAATATTATACACTATATACTGAATATTTAGATATGTATGACATGAGAATGGACATAAATAAAAATGAAACTTAAGAATTGATGACACCAATACCTAGTATATTTATAATTAGTCTTTAATGTGATCAGAACTGTACAATCCATATATTTCCCTCATTAGGGGTCCGAATAAATGAATAAAAGGTTTATATTGTTTCACCATAACAGTCATCTCTAAGTCACTCAACACTGATAACTCTTGTAACGAAATCATCAGTTTTTGTAATTTTAATTCCCAATCCGATCCATATTTTAATAATAAGTATCTTTGTAATAGATATATGTATAACTGTTGTTCAAGTCTATTACAAACAATTGATAAAAATAAAAACATTTATCAAAGTAATTACTTCTAACTAATTATCATCTATCAATTATATCACTTACCTAACATTTTGTTTATGTGTTAAATTAGGTCGATTTGGATTGAATAGTGTGATCGCGGTCAACTGTAAAATAAATACGAGTTGTATTAAATATTTTCATATTTTTTCTTATAATAATATGCATAATTAAAACTAATTTCATACTAAATCAATAGCAACGGAGTCGTTGTCATCCCACTCCCTCAATATTTTGTTTGTAAAGTCTCTCATTATATCATAATATTTAGCATCTAGTTGAAATATATCCCATTTGGCCACTATTGCATTATCATTATCCTATTGTAAATTATAATGTTAAGATTAATCAAATATTTTATTCAAGTAATTATACTAACTATGGGAAATGTCATAGTCTCATTTTTCATGTCATAGTACTTTAAAAATCTAATTCCCAACATTTCATTCACTCCATGCTTAACGAGTGCCAATTGATCGTTAAAACATATGTTATTAAATCCATTCAAACACTTAGTAAAATCTACGGTATCTCTAATGATAATCTCACTCTTTTGATGCGAGTGTATAATTAAATCTTTAATATTTTCAATTTTTAACATTTTACTACCCATCGGATAGTTAAACCTAGCCGTGGCACTCACTAACTCAGATATGCGACTGCCCTCTAACTGATTTAAACCCTCATAATCTGTTATTTGTTTAAACATTGGTATAACCGCTAATTCCCGTGATTTGTGTTCACTATTAATTGCATCCATGTTATCATTTATGACACAATTTCCTATTTCCATAATCTGTTCACTAAGATCCTCATCACTAATATCGAGTGAATCTTCAATAAGTGAATTGAAAATTGTGATTTGTGTTCACTATTAATTGCATCCATGTTATCATTTATGACACAATTTCCTATTTCCATAATCTGTTCACTAAGACCCTCATCACTAATATCGAGTGAATCTTCAATAAGTGAATTGAAAATATGTTTTTCGGTCTTTTCGTCAAAGATTAGTAAGTCTTCCGATGAATCACTTGTCGAGGATATGATACTTTCATCGCATTGTTCGCGCTTTAATTTATTGAGCTTGATCAGTTTCTTGCGATTTTCATTTTGCTCGGGATCTCTTATAAACTCCTATTGAAAATGCAAAAATAATATTAATTATATATTTATACAATTGTGATATAAATAATACTTTTTTCATTCCGACTGCAAAACATTTAGAGAGTCTACACTTCTGGCACATTCTTCTGGTCACAGGATTTATGACACATTTCCCATCCGATGGACAGTTCAATGACTATATTAATGAAATTAATATTAGTCATTATTTAAAATTAATTAAAATGTTCAGGTACGGGTAGTTTTACAGAGAACAAATACCTTATTTTTAAGTGCAAAACGTCTAAAAAATGCTTTACACGACTCGCATGTTACTACTGTGAAATTATTACCTAAACAAATAATATAGTTTTAAATTTTAAAATTTATTAGGTACTTCGCTATAAATATAAATAATACTAATAAATATCATACATACCGATCCCTTTGTCACCACACACTACGCAAATTTTATTTACTTTTTTGTCACTCATTTTGTATAATATTAGATAATTATATTAATGAAAGTCAAATTTAAACAACAAGCTATATTTACAAACTAAGGATTATAGTCCAATAATTTTTAATCAATTTAATTAATAGTAAAACATAACTATATTAAAATTCACTAAAATTTATTAATTTGAAATGAATTGCATTTCGATAGACTTTGAAACAAGTTTTAAATGATAAATGTCCTTGATTCGCTTATTATGGGCACTTTTATCATAATTGTTTGTTATCTGACATGTAATTTGATTTAGCATTGACATTCACAATACACACAACACTTATAACTTATAAGATAATTTTCCACTAATAAATACATTTAATGTCAGAGGTTTATTAATGATTACTTATTCTTATACAATATTATTCACACATTACATCATTTATTGCATGAATGCTTTAAATCCTGGATCTAAAAATTATATACATTTTTATGAATATATTTCCCTAAATAATGGTCCAAAATATTGAACATTTTCTTTATAATCGTCCCGGCTATGTTTGCGATGAGTTTCACTGATAATTTGTAAATCTGGCAATGAATTCATCAGTTTTTGAAGTTTACATTCCGATTCTGATTGATACTTCATAAGTAAATATCTCTGTAGTAAATATATGTACAGCTGTTGTTGGAGTCTAAACACACAATTAACATTTTAGCATTTAGTATAAATTTATATAAATTTAGTATAATTACTAAAACTACTTGCCTTACAGTATCTCTATGTATTAGGTTTGGACGGTTTGGGTTGAACAGTATAATTGTCGTTAACTACGCAAATAAATCATAATTAACATTTACATTATAGTCTATAATTAATATGAAATACCAGATTCAATATAGTGAGATCCCAGTCCCATTCTGGACATATCTTTTCTAGGAACTTTATAAATATATGTAATATAACTTGACTAGGTGCCCTTTCTTGGTCAGCAAACTCTTTATATGTATCACATTTAGAAACCAATGAATTCTCATTGTCCTATGAAAGTGAATGATACAATTTTTTAATTTATCAGTACAGTATAATTTATGAACTAGTGTATTATTAAAATTTATATTACTTACCATATACTGAACAAAAACTTTGGTTTTGTCATTATAATAGGTGACACGTCTGAGGGACAGTATTTCACTGCACCCGTACTTCAATAGGTAATACTGATCGTTGGGACACAGATCTGTATATCCACTCAGACCTGATATATATGTGATAACATCCTGGATGCGTTTTTCGGCCATTTGCGC